CTCTCTGCATCTATTTATAAGACGTACTGGTGAGCATCTAATGATTCCTACAAGGTTTTTGTAAAGTCACACAACTATGTGAATACTTTTTATGTATTTAACATAGTAATTAAATATTTAATGCATTAATAATTACTAATTAGCTAACAATACACTTAATATAATACAGCTAAGCTAACAGATAGTAGAGGTTTCAAGAAGTAATATCTCTTTCTTCTCAAGGGGTCAGGGGCCAGGGCATATCGTGGGGGATAAGAGTGGAGGGCACCCCAGGTAGACAGTTCACCTGAAGCTGCCAGAAGAAACGTGGGTGGCAATTACTGGGAGCTAAGATCAGAGTTGGCAAAGAGCTACACATAAAATCCAAAATGGAAGAAAGGGATAGGAAGAAAGAAAGAAAAGGTAAGGTTTCTGGCTGAGACTCTGAGAAACCTGATACAATGATGTAATTGTATCAGGATGCAGGATGGGGTGAGGAAGTAAAAACTTCTGCTATCACCTGGTAAGTGAGTGTCAGAGGCTCACAGTGCAGCTCCGAGTTGGATGTGGTTCATAACAAGGGACAGGTCACTGTGCTGGGCTCTTATGAATGGGGAGATAGGAGGTCAATCAATTCTCACTGATTAACTAAGAGTTATTAACCTCTTCTTGCGGAGGTTATGTCAATCTCAGACATTTCCAAATTGTCCACAATCATGTTACACAGGTTGGTCAATCCCTGGCTAAGGGCTTGAAATATGATTTAATATTGCCCTTAAAAAGCTATAAATTAAAGTTCAGAAAATGTCCTCATTTAAGCCTGGGGTCCACATTATCCTTCAATTAAGTCAGCAGAACCTATGTTTAACATTCATTATCATTGATTTCACACCAGATGTAACCAGATCCTGGACAAATCAGGGGTAGGACATAGCTCTTTTCCTCTTAAGAGGAAAGAATAAGGCCAACTAGACATCATTGTACATGAGCCATGAAGCAATGTGCTTCGATTGTCATCAGGCTGAATGATTTACTTCAAATGTAATAACATAGCATTACTCAGTTATCAGACAGGCAGTGACTGTTATATAAACATAACCGAAAAGCATGTGAATATAGATGATACTCCATTTCTTACAAGCATAGACTATGATATGGAAACCTCTCTCTAAGCTAAATCAATGTGTTGAAAACTTTCAAGACCCATGGAAATTGACACAGGATGCTCATTCTTGGATTTCTCCCCAAAATACTCAGACATTCCCTCAAGGATGTAACAGGTACATAACTGTTACTGAGTACTCCTGGACCCGAGTTTGTATCTTCTGCAAATTAAGTCTCATGTCTGAGTAAGAAAACTGTGGGAATTATTAGTAACTACTGACAACATTTATAGATATAGAAAAAAAATTTTCTTACTATTTTTTTCAAATGTTGATTTATTGCTGTGGCTTTGGGTAACTATCTAGTTATTTTAACATCATCTGTATACAGTTAACTCTAAAATGGTACTCACAAGGTCATGTTCCCTTCAGAATACTTAGCTTCATAATCTTCCACAGCCCTAAATGTGGAAGAAGAACTTCTTATTTTCCTAATGGAAAATACATGCCACCGGGGAACCCAGTGAGAGACCGAGGATAACAACGCATTGGGGAAGGGGATTCAACTGCACGACAAAAAGTACCAGAATCACATGTTTTGTGAAACACATTTTCTTACCATCATTAACACTAATGGAACATTATAGTTGATATTGATAATTTGTATTACTATTAATTAGTATTACTAAAATAACTTCTATTAATAGTTAGGAATAATGATAACAGCAATCCCGTACTTCATGTACGGCACATCTCTATCAACATTTGTCACATAAAATGGAATACTTAGATAAGTATACTGCAGGCCAGCAAATTCTACTATAAAAGTTAGTGACCACTGACACAGAGGTGGAAGACAGCCTCTAAATTCCTACTCTTGCCTACCTATTTACTTAGCTTCTGCTTATTGTAGTCTACAATTTTTTCTTTATTATCAACTCCCCCATGAATTTGAACTAATGATTGCATATATATAATATAGCTTCTTTCTATAAGGGGAGAAAAAACAAACATATATGAAATATGAATACATTTCATGTAGTCTTGTTAACTTAAATAAAGAGATAATAATCCTCCAATAATAAATTACAACCCTAACTCATTTCAATAGAATCTACTTTAAGTACCTACTCACAATTAGAAAACTAGGTTTTTCAAAATATTCAGTCTTCCTTTTTGGCTGCTTTTCCTTGTAGCTAAAGGCCAGTGAAATGATATGATATGGTTACTTCATAAAAAAAGTGAGGAAAAAAAACACTGTCTCCTATTTCGGGGCACTTATTTTGTTCTTTTCAAAAACACTTAACTCCACTTTCAAGTTCTTATTAATGAAATTGCCTTGGCTTCTCCATGAATTTGTGTGATTGTATTTAAACATTTCACCCTAGCATTCATCTTAACAAGCACGATCACACTGGGTATTTTTTCTCATTTCTTTCAAAACTAAGACGTAATCAACAGAAGCATAACATATTGACATCAATTTATGGCATCTTACTAAATCTTAATTGAATAAATAAATGAACATTCTAGTGCTTGAATGGGCACTCTAGTGCTCCTCAACCTTTTCCATTTTAGGCTACCTGTGAGCTGACAGGTGGGTGACTAATTTTAGCACACCTGCAACTCATTTATTGCATCTTCGTGTCCTCAAAATTCTAAGAAGTTCTTCTCCACATTTTTTTCTTATTGTGCATACTACTACTTTAAGGGGAAAAAAAAACCCAGGAACCTATGTTTTCCTTTGGGGATTCAACCCTCCCTCATTCCACATGATCCTGGTGGCATACATATGTCAGGACCCTGACACTTCACCCACCTCCATTCTACCAAGGATAATCAGTTAAAGTGCCCCATTGTCCTGCCAATGGTTGAGCCAGTGTGGGAACATAACCCAAGCAAAGCCAATCCAAACCCTCTACAACTCTCTTCCTTTTGACTGTTCATATTATGTTTTAAAGCTTTGGGCTTCCAGCCAAGTCGCAGAGGAAGGAAAGAAACTGTGCAACGAATACACTGTCTGGGCCATGGTTGTTTTAATTTTAGAGTGAATAAAAAAAGTGTAGGTCAGACGGGTTTCTGTTACTTTTAACCAAAAGCATCACTCTAGAATTCCAAAGACTCAATGCATTTCCTGAGTATCAATACCCTTACATATTGTATGCAATACATGGTTTACATCAGTGGCACACACGGATCAGGTAGCCTACTGTATGACTTCTTTAGATAATCTCCAGACATTATCTGGGCAATAACTATTTTAAAGAGATGAATACTGAAAGCACACATTTGGTAGAAGGAAGATCATTAGGGAAGGTGAAGGGAGAAATAAAATAAGAAGCAAGTTGAAACGAGTCTCATTATACATACACCATGAGGCAAAGTTGCTCTGAGTACCTTACAGACCCACTTGCAGAGTCACACCAGAAGTGGTCTGGTCACAAGGAAAACTCATCGAGAAAGAGCAGCAGTTATTTCCTTGACAATGAGGAATGAGCATGACAAGTTGGAGACAAAAAGGAATTCCAAACATATTAACTTCCTATCTTATTTATCCACCTTCACCACCAAATTTTTTCCTATAGGAACACATAATTTTTCTTAAAGAGATGGACTTTTTCCTCACCATGTTTGAAAATACAAGCACAGATATCAATAAACAGAAAATAATAAAAATACCATACCACCAACCAGAAAGAATATATGCTCCCCTATGTTCATAGCAGCGCTATTTACAATAGCTAAGATATGGAAACAGCCCAAATGTCTGTCAGTAGACGAATGGATAAAAAAGCTGTGGTACATATACACAATGGAATACTATGCTGCTATAAGAAAAAGACATCTCTTACCCTTTGAGATGACATGGGGGGACCTGTAAAGTATTATGCTAAGCAAAATAAGCCTGTCAGAGAAGACAAGTATCACGTGATCTCACTTATATGTGGAATATAATGAACAAAATAAGCTGATGAACAAAGTAGATCCAGAGACATGGAACGAGGGAACAGACTGACAAACCTCAGGGGAAAAAGGGTGGGGGTGGGGGCAGGAAAAGATAAACCACAGAACTGATATGCATATATGCACAACCAATGGACATAGACAATAGTACAGTGAAGTGGGGTGGCGCGGAGGGAGAAGGGAGGAGGGTGTCAATGGGGAAAAAAGGAGGACATCTATAATACTTTCTAAAATAAAGATAAGTTTAAAAATATACATCATACCTACTTGGTTAGAAAATCCCCTCAAAGGAAATGCATTCTACAGATGCTATTCAATGGGGAAACAAATATACAGTACTATGAGAAATATATGGTTAAGAGGTGTGTGTTTGTGTGTGGGGGGGTCTTATTAATGTCTGACTGCTTTCTTATTACCCTGCAATTTCCGTGCAGATAGCAAGAATGACTATCCTCACATTGCAGTATGTTGATCAATATCATAGATAGCAAGGACCCAATATTTTTTAGTTTATTAAATGACTGAATAAAGATAAGATCGATTTGTGAAAAGAATAGATTAATGCCTATCCTATAGGCACCTTTAAACTCAATTATTTGGCATCTTAAAAGATTAAAATTAGAACTAAGGGATACACATCTTAAATAGGCTGCAAGAGTTAAGAAAAGAACTATAAATTAGCAAATCCACCAATAAACAAAAATATCAGAATAGCATCATGTACAGATTACCTTGCAAAGTGTGCTTTCATTAAAAAAAAAACACTTGCATCATTATATATATATGTAACTCGGAGTAAGGAGAAAAAACAACAAATTGGGATGATAAGGAATGATTAAAAAAAAAAAATCAACCCATAATTTAAAGCTGATAAAAATCATCCACAAAGAACAATCTACATTTTGAATAATTACGCTTTACCCCCATTACTGTTCCGTTATTTTTTTTCTTTACCTGAGAGGAATCTGCTTGTGCTAATTCTGTAGTGACCTTCAGTATTTGGCGAAGATTTTGTCCTTTATCTTCAACAAGGAGGTGAACCAGCAGAAGAAACACGTGCACAGGGATCACTGTAGTAATAGGGAGCAAGGACTCGACTGAAGCCAACCAGTCACTCGCTGCAGACTCTTCTCGCAATACTTCAAGGATCCTCCAGGTTGTAAATATTGAGCCATATGTGCTGGTAATGGGGAACGCAAGCTTGCAGGACAGCTGAAAAAAATAAATGCAAAAAAGGCATGAATAAAATAAGATAAATATATTGATCAGAAAGATATTTCTGACATTCATTTACATTTTATATTTCATTATAAGAAATCAACCCTTCCAACAAAATGAATACAGAATTTTCAATGCCTGTCCCAAACCTCTCTGCACATATTTGAGCTAACAGAACTACACAAAGAAAAAACAGTTAGTATAAGGAACTCTGAAACAGTGTATCACTACTTTTCCTCTTATTTACCATTTGCTCCCAGTTAAAGCAGGAAAAAAAAAAAATGGATCAATAAGTAAGATCTAGAGGCAACACCTTTTGGAAAGACCATTATCACTAAGAAAGTATTCACCAATGAGAGCAGATAGAAACACACACACACACACAAACACACACACACACACACACACACACACACTGCACTTCCCTGGTAAGAGGCAACACTAGGCAGATGGCAGACCTGTACTGAGGAGAATTCATTTTTATAAGACAGTATGTTGATAGAAACAGAGTTTGTTCAGCGGGAGCCTGGGAATTCATTAATAATTGTGACTAACTTCTGGAATAAAAAATAGCCTGACAGCTCAAAACTGATATGATATCCAAAAATATTATGCTTAAGTCAATCTGAAATGGCTCCTCACAGAAATAAAACAGTGCAGTCAGGGATGGAAAAAGGACAGAATTCTGCCAAGGTGAGCTGTGTGTCGGGATCGCTCAGCAGAAGCCATAGATATTAAAGATGTGTTACATATAAACTGCTTATAAATTTTTTTAATTAATTAAGAATATAGTTAGATACAATTAGAAATCTCTAGATTATAACTGTCCCATTATTGGGGACTGACTTCTATAAATAAGAATAATAACTGAAAGGATGGAAAGTAAAAGTTAAGCTATATAAAATTTTTAAATAAAAGATAAAGGGATAAAACCAAACCAAATAGACACATAGACATGGACAACAGAATGGTGATAGCCAGAGGGAACGGGAGGGGTGGTGGAAGTGGGCAAAGCAGAAATAGTGGGAAGAGAAAGAGACTTGGCTTGGGGCAATAAGCACACGATGCATTATACAGATGATGTTTTATTGAGTTGTACAATTGTAACCTAAATGGTTTTGCTAACCAATATTACCCCAATGAATTCAGTTTAAATATAAGTTTATTGAGATATAACTCACTAACATAAAATCTATCCTTTTAAAGTTGACAACTCAGTGGATTTTGCTAATTCATATAGTCCTGTAACCATTATCAATATCTAATTTTAGAACATTTTCATCATCCCAAAAAGGAAACACCATACCCATTAACAATCACTCTTCACTCACACTGATCCCCCACCCTCTGGCAACCACTAATCCACTTTTAGTTTCTCTACTGGCTATTTTGTATAATAGGAATCACACAAAATGTGGTCTTTTTTGACTGACTTTTCATTTGGCATGTTTTCATCCATGTTGTATGTAACTGGTATCAATACTTCATTTCATTGTCAAATATATTACATTGTGTGGATGCACCATTTTTATTTTTATATATTTTTATTTATTTATTTATTATTTTCTTATTTTATATCTTTTTTTTTTTTTTTATCCTCACCCGAGGACATTTTTCCATTTTTTGTTCAGGTAGAGTGGGAGGGAGAGAGAGGAACAGAGAGAAAGAGAGAAACATCGATGTGAAAGGGACACATCGAGTGGCTGCCACCCGCACAACCGACCAGGGCCGGGGACAAACTGCAACCGAGGTACATGCCCTTACGGGAACCGAACCCGGGTCTCTCAGGACCGCAGGCCGACGCTCTAACCACTGAACCAAACCAGCCAGGGCATTTTATTTATTTTTTAAATGATAGTTATTTTTCTGTATATTTTTATTATATTTTAAATCCTTACCTGAGGATATTCTATTTATCTTCAGATAGAGTGGGAGGGAGAGAAAGAGAGAAACATTGACGTGAGAGAGACACATTGACTGGTTGCCTCCTGCATGACTCTGCCCAAGGCTGGGGACAAACCGCAACTGAGGTCCCTGCCCTTGGCTCGAATCGAACCCATGACTCATTAGTCTGTGGGCCAATGCTCTATCGCTGAGCCAAACCGGCCATGGTGTACCATTTTTTTAACCCATTCATCAAGTAATGGATATTAGGTTTTTTCCACTTGTTGTCTATTATAAATAATGCTGCTATGGCTATTCCTATAAAAGTTTTTGTAAGGACATAGGTCTTCAATTGCTTGAATGTATGCTTAAGAGTAGAGATAATATAAAAACAAATGAGGGTGCGGCTGGTGTGGCTCAGTGGTTGAGCATTGACCCATGCACCAAGAAGTCACCAGTTTGATTCCCAGTCAGTGCACATGCCCAGGTTGTGGGCCTGATCCCCAGTGGGGGGCATGCAGGAGGCGGCCAATCATTGTTCTCTCACATCAATGTTTCTAACTCTCTCTCCCTCTCACTTCCTTTCTCAGTAAAATCAATAAAGAAAAAAACAAAAAAATAAATGAAGAAGCTCCATCTTTACTGATATAAAAAGATCTTACACATGAAAATCAAGATACAGATACAAATAGAATGCCTAGAATGCTGCCAATTATATTTTTAAGGGTGGAGGGGGATACTATATATTTGTATTTGTATTTGCTTGTATATTCAAAGTATGTAGATAAATAAACAAGCAATTAATATACACTAATTTTCATTTTCTATTGGAGAGGGTGTGAACTGGACAACTGAAATCAGGGGTGAAAAGGAGATACTCATTGAATATCATTTTATAATCTTTGAACCATTTCTATATTTTATAATTTATTAAAATTATATTTTTAAATTAAATATCTAAATTTATTATAGCTCTATTTCTCTCTAAAAATACTTTTACACCCAAAATGAAATTCATTAAAGACTAGAGTCAATTTCTTTAGACTAATAACACAGCATTGGACTTGAGATTTAAAAGACGAGGGCTCAGAGAAGCCATGGCAACTACTAGCTGTTACACAATTTTCCTGAGCCTTACTTTTTTCATGACTACCTTCCTGCCAAGATTACTAAGGTAGGTAATGAGACAATATGCATAAAGCACCTAGAGCAGTGTCTAAAGTGGCAAAATACAGGAAAATATCACCACTGTCATCTTTAGGAGAGAAAAATAAAACTGGTAGATAAGACTATAAAAGAAAATAATTGGAAATCACCATCAATGATAAATTAAGTCAAAAGCAGACATGTAACAGTAAAATACTGAAACAGAAAAGCAATCCTATTTTTCTTGAATTATTATGTCCAAGTTTAGGCTCTGTTTTTTGTTTGTTTGCCTAAAGTCAGAGGAGGAGGAGAAAAGCACAGTGTTGAATAAGATATCACAGGACAGTCTCCCTGGCCCAGTGAGGGATGGGTACAGTTCACGGGCACAGTCCCAGGGCAAGGATGCAATCCAGGATTCTCTCTCAGCACCAGCTACCAAATCCTGGCCCCCCAGCCTGTGGTGGACCTGTGAATGTGCTGGTAGGCTGTTTTAGAAGGAAAAGTGGGTGTTTGAAAATAAGAGAGGCTTATGTTAGGCAAATTAAATCTCAATAAAAAATAAAAGAGAGAAAACCATACCAAAAAATAGCATTTCAATAAATATTAAATGGTTGTAAAACATCCTTTACAGATGTAAGAGAATTGAAAATCATTATTTTAAAAAATATTTTAATAAAAATGTTCAGGTGTATTAAATATTAACAATAAGACAGACATCTATAGCAATATTTCTTTGTCTAAAGAGATCTGAAAAAGAAATTGTAGGTATAGGTGAACAATATAGATTTTCACTAACTTTAAAGAAGAATAGTCATCTATCATAGCAAGTAAACAGGCTTAACAAGAGTGGAGCCAGGAGTTGATCAGGAGAGGGGGCTATGGAAAATCAAACCTGGAGATTTTTATAAGTAGGACAGGTTTTGTTAGAAGGGATTACACAAAAGACCCTGAATAGCCAAAGCAATCCTGACAAAAAAGAATGAAGCAGGAGGTATCACATTACCCAACTTCAAATTATACTACAATGCTACGATAATCAAAACAGTTCAGCATTGGCAAAAATGTAGACACACAGGCCAATGGAATTGAGAGCCCAGAAATAAAACCATATGTATATGGGCAAATAATTTTTGACAAAGAAGCCAAAAATACACAATGGAGAAAAAAAATCCTATTTAATAAGTGATGCTGGGATAACTGGAAAGCCACATGCAAAAGAATGAAATAGATTATAGTTTGTCCCCATGTACAAAAATTAATTCAAAATGTATCAAAAACCTAAATAGAAGATCCAAAACAATAAATTACACAGAAGAAAACATAATATTAAACTTATAGACCTTGGTTGTGGAGAACATTTTATGAATTTGACCCTATGGCAAGGGAAGTAAAGGCAAAAATAAATGAAGGAACTATCAAACTAAAAAGCTTTTGAACATCAACCAAGTGAGAGATGCTATTTTCAAACAACAGCTCTGACAAGGGGCTAATATCCAAAATATACAAGAACTTATACAACTCAACACCAAACAATTGACTTAAAATATGGGCAAAGGACCTGAACAGACACTTCTCCCAAGAAGACATACAAAAGGCCAACAGGTATATGAATAAATGCAAAGCTTCACCAGCTATTAGGGAAATGCAAATCAAAACTACAATGAGATACCACCTCACACCTGTTAGAATGGCTATTATAAATAAGACAATAGCAAGTGTTAGAGAGATTGTGAAGAAGAAGGAACCCTCATTCACTGCTGGTACAGTCACTACGGAAACCAGTATGGCAGTTCCTCCAAAAATTAATAGTTACCATATGACCCAGCAATCACTCTGTGGGTATCTATCCCTTCCCAAATGAAAAACATTTCTTCACAAGGATATATACACCCCTATTGTAATTGCAGTATTATTCACAGTGGCCAAGACATGGAGATAACCAAAGTGTCCTTCCATAGATGACTGGATAAAGAAGATGTGATATATATATATATATACACACAGACACACACACACACAATGGAATACTACTCAGCCATAACAAAAGATGAAATACTGCCATTGTAACAACATGGCTGGGCCTTGAGAATATTATACTAAATGAAATCAATCAATCAAAAATGAGAATCATATGATTTCACTCCTATGTGCTACATAAAACTGAAACTCATAGACCCAGACTATAGTATGGTGGTTACCAGAGGGAAGGGGGTTCCGGGCAGTATAGGGTAAAGGGGGCAAAAGACAAGGTGATGGAAAATGATTTGACTTTGGGTGGTAGACACAAAATGCAATATACAGATCATGTATCAAAAAAAAGGCACACTTGAAACCTATATGATCTTATTAACCAATATCACTCCAAAAATTTAATAAAAATGTAAATAAATACATAGTAAATAAATAAAGGGGGGAGGGGTTTAATCATTCACCAGACCAGAAACAAAAGAGTGAATTAGATAAAGCCTAAAGAGGGTCTACATCTTCTGCTATCTACCTCTATGAAGATTCTAGTCAGCAGCTGAGAAGCTTGGGAGTGGCTGATCATCATCAAAAGATAACCCACACCATCCTCAGTATCCATACTAATCAGAAGATAATGATAGAAGAATAAGATCTAGGACTTACTAATTCCTTTAAGTTCCAAACACAAGCTTTTAAAAAAACAATTTACTTCAACTTACTACTATTCACTTTTTCCTATAAATCTGAAACTCTTATTTACTAATAAATAAATTTTTAAAAAAATATTTTTTTAATTAATTTTAGAGAGAAAGGGAAAGGGAGAAAGAGAACATCAATTGGCTGCCTCCTACACACTCCGCTCTGGGGATCAGGCCACAACCTGCGCATGTGTCCTGGCCTGGGATCGAACTGGTGACCTCTTTGTACATGGGGTGATGCTAAACCACTGAGCCACACCAGCCAGGCCTAATTAATAATTCTTTGTATTAAATTATCCTTTGTGCAAATTAACAGTGTGGTTACTCTCTCCTGACTGGATCCTGCCTCATACACTGGTGCATTCTCCCTCTATGTCCCACACCCAACCACATTCTCAGGGGGCAAGGGCAGCAAGATTTTAAGCACTTTCAAATTTACAAGTGTTTGCTTTTTTTTAGCCTAGGAGAACACAAACAGGTGGTTTTAAATATCACATTTAAAAGTCTAATAAAAAAGGATTCTGTTTTCCATACAACACTAAAAAATATTAATATTAGATTATATTAATCTTTTCCTTTAAATAAATAAAAACCTGGTTTGATATCTTTTTTAAAAATCCTCACCCAAGGATATATCTTTTATTCCCATTCATCTTCAGATAGAGAGGGAGGGAAGAAAGGGGAGAGATAGGGGTAGCAGAGAAAGAGAGAAACATCTATGTGAGAGAGACAGATCGATTGGTTGCCTCCCACACAATCCTGACCAGGACTGGGGACCAAACCACAACCAAAATATGTGCCCTTGACTTGACTTGAACCCACAACTCTTAAGTCTCATGGCTGATGCTCCAACCATGGAGCCAAATGGACCAGGGATGGCTTGATATCTTAATTTTTTTAATTCTTAAGAGTTGAAAAAAGGTAAAATGTGGTTTATTTCATGGTCAACCATATTTCAGAAGCAGGAGAGGTAATAAAGAATTGCATGTCTCAGGACATTTGCCCTTGCTTCCATTCACCAGAAGAACTGAGCTTCTAAAATACTGTTCTAGTTCTTAATCAAACACTCTAAGTCAGTCTCCAATCTAAAATAAACTAATAAAAATAAACACAACAGAGGTCTTTATACAAAGGTCTTTCTGTAATAAATCAAGATGGTTAAATATCTATCAGAAGCACATATTCCTCACTGAACAGAAATTTACTGACTGTCTACCATGTGCTAATCAATGGGTCAGATATAAAGGATGCAAAGATAAACCAGGATGTTATCTATTCTTTAAGTATGTGGAAAATTGGAAAATAAATTAAAAACTGGCAAAAATATTTTTAATTTTCTCATCTATGGTGAACTGAAATAGATAAAGCAGAAACACTTAGGGTGGAAAAAACACAAAAATTTCAAGAATTGTTGCAATTTAAATGTTTGACATGCTTAGAAAATAAAGGCAAAGTATGAAAACGGCCACGATTCTTTCCTTCAGTGAGCTCGTACTGTAGTTGGAGGTGCAAATATGCAACCTGCCAAATTAAGATAAAACATTACTGAGTCAAGTCCTAGGGATGCAAATAAGAGTGATTAATTCTAACTCAAGGAGGCTGAGAACATTTGGCTGGGTATTGAAGGATGAATAAATCAAGTAAGGGGGACAAAAAAAACAAACAAAACAAAGACAAAAAACAAAAAAAAACACAAAGATCCTAGAAACAACTTGGAGAGTTGGGGGCATGTAAAATTTATAGATATGTTTGGAATATAGAATCCATGACAGGAACAAAAGAAAAGCCAAAAGTAAATGGTGGCTTAAGTTTTAAAAAGTGTGATCAGCCCTGGCCAGGTAGCTCAGTTGTTGGAGTTTTGGCCCATGCGGCAAAAAGATGTTGGATTCAATCCCCAGTCAGAAAAAGTACAGAAGGCAATCAATCTCAATGTTTCTGTCACACTAAAGTTCCTCTCTCTCTAAAAATCAATTTTAAAAAGGTAGTAAGAGGGAGTTATTCTATATCTACTCAAAGCCTCAAAGCAGCACACTGTCATCAGGAGGTGTGTATAGCACTGCCAGTATTCCTTCCTCCTCCCTCTTACCCAGCAGCTGAAGAGAAAGCTTCACTATTAGTGTTGATAAATAAGATGCACACACTCGAATAGTATGCTGAGTGCTCAAGTAGTAGAATCCTCAGTAAATATCACTTATTATTTAAATGAGTAGAACTCTTAAATGTGGTATATCCTGCCTTGGCCCACGCTTCATTCAGAATCCAATCCTTGATCTGCATGGACAAATCAAGAAGGAAGATAAAAACCTACTAGAAAATTTTAGTCACATTTTGTACTCCTATTGGGAGAGATGCAAAAACTTCCTTCTCTTAATGCAAATCAGTTACATAGTTTAAGTTTTAAAATTTTAAACAAAGAGGATTTAGAAAGCTGCAGGATACATTCAATTTGCCTATAGGCTAGTTTCTGCTGCAAGCTCAAACAAAAAGTAACAATGCCTGGATTTCTGCTGCTAGAACATTGAACAATACATGATTAGAGGCATATGTTTTGCAGATGAAACAACTATGGCACTGGCTTGCATTTATGTAATCCCTCTCTCCATGGAGACATAAGATGCTTCACCAGTTTTATCTTACTTTGTCCTCATTCAATTCTCATGAGTAGTAGTTGGGAAGTAAGTTTCACTGAAAGCAATACTGAAATTACAAAAGATAAAATATCTGATAAATACAGGCCTAAAACCCAGCCATTATCCAGACATTCTCAATACAATAATGCACAAAGGAACAGGGACAGTGAGACTGGCAGAGCAGAATGGGAATGCCTAGCAGGCAGACAGGAGTGGAGTGTGACAGGCCTGCCATCCTCCAATTGAAGGCAGCAGAGCAGAGGCACTCACAGGAGACACCAACACCCAGGATGCCAGGGAATGTGGCCTAAGGTGCCATATTGAAAAATGAAGTCTTAGTTCTTACAGATCCCAGAACATCTAGGCATTCAAGGGGGCTTCCCACCTTGAACTGTCCCAGATGCAGCCACATGCTGCACTTACTAAACAGCATGACCAGAAGGAAAGGAGTCTGTGCCCACATAAGTGGGAGAAGCACCAAGTGAAACAGAATTAGTCCCCTTTCTGCAGGATTCCTCAGGACCCTTAACTACTAATGGACACTGGAAACTCAAAGAGGAAACGAGTTATACAGCATTTCCAAAACATTTCACAGCAGGACCACCCTCCCCTCACTGTCCAGAAAAACATCTACACAACTGCCCCATAATATAGTAAAGTTCACAAAGATAGTGTTTAAACCCAAACACACACTCCACAGGGAGGTGAGGTTCTCTGCAGAGACATAAATCCCACATTACCACTTTCACCCTTATTTCAGGGAGGCGAGGCTGAACTCCATTACCTGTTGACAGTTGTCTCTGTAGCTCTCCTGCTGTACCATTTCCAAAAGTTTCAGAGCCAACTGCTGCCTCGAGGGAACATCTTCATCTATGGATATGCAGTTGTCCAAGGCAGTAAAAGATAATATCTGCAGAACTGGCATTACTAGCAGCAAGGATGACTTTGGAATTTTTTGACACTCAGCAAAAGAGAGGAGCTTCAAAGCTATTCATCAAAACAACAATTGATGTTTTTAAAAAATTAATACCACAGTTAAGCAAAATGCTATTTTGTTTAAGGGTGATATGCTAGAACTTTTCTTACCCCTTTACAACTGTGTCAGAGATATAACTAAGATGATAAATGTTCTTTTTAGAAATAAAATATAAAAATGAACTAGTATCTAAAACAAATTAGTTATGTTTATAACTGAAAACCTGATGATACCCTTAGAAAAAATACATACTGTATATCATATGGTATAAATCAACTCTTTTTTTGGTCAATGCAAATTTCTTAAAAATACAAATCCACTTTTGTCCTTGTTCTGTCAGTCAGATCCTTCTACTGCCATCAACAAACAGAGCGTAGAGACCACAGAGTTGCTGCTCAGTGGATAGCGAGACCAATGAGTGCGCTTGGGGCACAAACCCCGCTGAGAACTGTAGGAAGAGATCAGTAAATAAACAGGGTGAAGCAGGACTAGCTTTCCGTTTTTGTCTTTTTAAATTTATCGTTATTGTTGAAAGTATTACAGATGTCCCCTTTTTATTCCTACATTGACTCCATCCTCCCCATTCCCACACCCATAACTTTTTATTTTAATTGCTAAGAAGCAGATCAGGAAAGTCTCAAAGTACATAACAGTCAAACATAGTTTTACAGATGATCCTTTTTCTAACATGGACACTCAACTTACACACCAGAACTATACATGCCAATGTACAATGACTTAGTTTCATGTATAGTCTCCCCTAGACTAATTACAGAAAGAGTTAAGGCTTAAATGTGCTTCTTTCATGGTTATTGAATGAACCCTGATTTACTCAATAATGTTATTCATAGACATTCATAGGCTTCCCAGCTAGATTATCAAAGCAATTAACTGATCTTTTCACAACACCAAAGACAAAAATTCCACAAGCCTTAAATCATGTCAAGGAGTTGCCAGTATTTTATTATTAAATCATCTGAAAGTCAAACCTGAACATAGTATGAAGTACAAATATTTGTTTCTCTAACATTATTAATTTATATTCTTGCTTAAATATTACTCTTAATCCATAGCTGTCCCTAAGATATCATGAAAATTCATTATCTTTAACAAAGCAAGAAATGCAAATAATACAAATATGTATATATTCTAAATCTTCCAGGCATTTTTATAAATTGCTATTTATAATCAAGGCTAAAGTTAATAATTAATAAGCATAATATTGTATTAACACTAAGCATTTTTCAAATTTGAAATAGTCAACATACTCATGGTTATTCTATTTTTTTGAACACTTGTCCCCAGTATAATAAATAACAGTTCTTCCCTATTTTTCAAAAGACATCCTTGCTCAGTAGTTTTCAATATGATTTATTTCATCCAACTAAGGTAACTTCAAATCAGAGACACTGATTTAAAAAACAAAAAGTCTGCTATCCAACAAATAATAGAAGTACTGGAGTGTATGAACCGATAGCATTCTATTATACATGAACCATGACAAAAGAGTGTAGCTTCAGAATTTAAAATGTGATTTCTCTACAGCTTTGCAATTCCTTTTTGTAAAAAAAAAAAAAATTCCATTTATACAGAATATCCACAAAGGACAAATTCATAGAGACAGGAAGTACATTAGTGTTTGTCTGGGGCTAAGAGTGGGAATGAGGATTAACTGTAAGAGGGCACAAAATATTTGCAGGGGATGGGGAGGTGATGGAAATGTTCTAAAACTAGATTGTGGCTCTGGTTGCATAATTCTGCAAATTTAGTAAAAAGATACTTTATTATACACTTAAACATGGTAAAATTTATGGTAAATAACATCTCAGTAAAGCTGTTTTTAAAAATCTATGGCAATCAGAAGTAGCAGCATTAGCAAATTATACATGTGGGAGGATGTTACATGCACTCTTATAAGGAAACAAAAGCAAAACTAATTCAGAAAAGAACTGGGGAGGAGAACACAAATGAACATAAGGCCAATAGGCAAGAGCAGGGTAGAAATCAAAGCCAAAGAGCCAAACATCCTCCTCCATGTGCTAAAGCCATTTCCAAGATGGACTGTGAGTGCAAAAGCAAATCACCCTCAAAATCATGATGAAATAAAATGCCCAGAATAGCCCTGGCCACTTTTTCTCAGTGGTTAGGGCGTTGGCCCACAGACCAGAAAGTCAGGGGTTTAATTCTGGTCAAGGGCGCATACCTTGGCTACAGTTAAGTCCTGGCCCCGGTTGAGGTTGTGCAGGAGGCAATCAGTCAATGTGCCTCTCTCATATCGATCCTTCTCTCTCTCTATCTCTCCCTCCCACTCTATTTAAAAATAAACAGAAAAGGATCCTTGGGTAATGACTTAAAAAATAAATAAATAAAATGCCCAGAATAATAAATTACACATTTGGTATTGACCTCAAGCACATTGTTTTCAATGAGGATGGGAATGCATCAATGTGCCATGGCAATACACAATCTAATGTAGTCAGAGCTTCCATTACCACTTGTATTATTCTGGACCAATAAAGCTGGGCAACATTAATGTAAAAGTGGCATTTAAAGGAGTAATTTCTCACACATGTGTTTGGGTTTATGTCAGCCCTGTCCCCCTGGGTCTCTCAGAGTGCCCCATGCCAGAGCAAACTGTGACTTTGAACTACTGCCTGGCTTCTGTCTGTAGGCTGCAGGCACTAAAGTGGTTTGCACAGTGAAAAAAATAAAAATAGAAATTAAAGGTGTATCTTCTCTGGTTGAGGGTGATAAGGGGGTAAAAGAATTGAGCAGAAAAAGGGAGAGAATTCACAGACATGGACAACAGTATGGTGATAGGGGAGACAAAAAGAAGAGGGCATAAAGGGGATAAATAGTGTTGGAAAAATTAAATTAAATTAAAATTAAATATGATTAAGGCTAAAAATAAAAACAAAAAAGATGTGACTTATTCGCTACTCTGCTAGACCCAGCACCGTGACTATTTACATATTATTCTTAAATAACACACTTTTGCCTCCCTTTAGCTCCATTCCTTTCTTTTCTTTAAATCATGCTGTTCAGAAGAGTATTATCTTTCATTTGTTCTAGCTGGGTTAATCAATTACCATAAATTAAATCTTGTCCATTGTGGCAAGAATTTTGAATAGTAAGGTCTATAGTTTTAAAAGCAAATAGAAATGCTAAACTAGTTTTTTTGTTTCAAGAGTTGTATGACATTGATTCTGAGTGTGTTGTACAACTAAATAGTGGATATGCCCTTCGATATATTTACAATGTCGTTGTTATATGATTTAGAGTATAATGTCCTAATACACAGCCAGAAACTTAGTAAGTTATGTATATGGAACCTTGTACAAAGTAATACTTTGTTTGAAAAAAAAATTCTATTTGATAATAATTAAGAATATTGAAGAACAGAAACTCAAAATATACAGGACTTTATAGCTTAACAGGATATATATATATATACGTCAAGGGACTCCTGCCAACACTCCCGTTATATTTACTTTTTACTGTAATTAGTGTCATTTACCTAGACTCAAGATTGGCTTCTGCTGACTTGCTGGAGTCTGTAGAAGTAGTGAAGCCATTCCAATTATGACCGGTTCAATGGGAAAATCCTAAAGACAAGAAGAAAACACAAAAGTTGTTAAGAAGTTTCCAGAGCCATGGTTTATAACACGTATTCAGAAAAAGTATATTCAACATGAAAGATTATAAACTTGTTACAGCTGTGCCTCCATTATCTCTGGGCTCTGTGTGCAGATGCAAATAACTGTATTCACAGATTCAACCAAGTGCAAATCAAAAATATCTTGTTTTAAGTGTTGCATTATTGCTGACATGAACTATGTAGTTAGACCTATGTGTTGTGTCCTCTTCCAACCATATTGTCTGACAAAGTCCGGATATGGAGAAGAAAGCTTCAAGGAATGAATCTTCTAGGAATAGCATGGGGGTGGGATTAATTGCTATTATGGGAATTATAATATTGGGAATTATTATTCTACTATAACACTAACCTGGGAATAACAAATAAGATATTTGAAATCATGCCTCTTCCATTAAATTCTGAAAAAAACTCCAGCTTCCCCTGAAACAGTCACCACTGCATGTCCAGACTGTCTTAATAATTTACTAATTCAATTGGAAAAAATTTCCCCCCAAAGTCTCTAAAAAGCAATTCATGGATGAATTGTGACAGGTAGAACTAATAGAGGCACCTTATACTCCGGTGCCTCCTCCCCAGATAGAATAAGAATAGTTAACAAGGACGGACTACATGTTCCTTATGCAAGCTTGCCTTCATGGAAGGATTGGCACGCCAAGGTCCCCCTTGGTGTTTACGAACAAAGGAACAAAAAAATCTCAATCATTGCAATTGAATAGGTTTTGTAAGAAATGTTGTCCTGAGTTAGTTAGGGAGGTAAATCAAAAACTAGTTGATCTAAAAACCCAAAGCTAGATTTTAAATAAAGGTCAACTATTAATCTCAGACAAAGGGCCTATAGAAAACTCTGCCTCACCATACAGGTTATTGTACTCACTTCTTAGAATCTATAAACACAAAAATGTTATAAATTAATTCTGACAAAAATGAAACTAACATCCTGGTACTATGGAATAAAACTCCCTGCTTCTTTAATCTCAAATGTTAAACTCATGCCAAAATATATAGATTTATATAAGCACATAGAAACTTGTAATAAATCGTAACAGTGTCACACTTCCTCTTGAGCCGTGTAGTCATCTGTCTCCCAGCACCAATGCCTGATCGCCTTCAGCACCCCTGGATCCTGCTGCAGCTGGACTGCGGCACCTATGCATCTGGACTGAACAGGTACAGACTTTTTATTCTTGTCATTATTCTCTATTATTTTCTAAATAATACAGTAAAAAATCTATTTATTTTTTTTATGTTTTACAGTGTAATACAGCATTACACTGTATTAAGTATTATAAGTAATCTAGAGATGATTTAAGGTATAAAGGAAGATGTGCATAGACTATATGCAAAATTAACACTATTTTATATAAGAAACTTGAGCATCGCAAATATGGTGTTCATAAAGGTTCTGGAACCAATCCTCCAAGGATACCAAGGGATGACTACATACAAAATCATCTATAGTAAGCCTGCTCTACTAAAGGAAGAATTTGTGAATGCTGGGGTAGTCATATATACATTCTAAATCTTATAATATCTGGCCAAAAAGCAATAGGCTAAAACATAAAGTAATTTAGCTGGCCAGTGTGGCTCAGTGGATTGAGCATAGGCCCCAGGACTGAGAGGTCCTGGTTCAATATTTTGTCAGGGCACATGCTTGGGTTGTGGGTTCAATCCCCAGTGCAGGGAGTGCAGGAGCCAGCCAATCAATGTTTCTCTCTCACATCAATGTTTCTATCTCTCTTTCTCTAAAAAATAAATAAATAAATAAAAACATATTTAAAAAAATAAATATATCAAATAATTAAGAGGAATAACTAACCCCTTACCACAAAAGATTTGTAAGCCTTCAAAAGAGCAAATCTTTGCAAGCCACTGAAAACTACTTAAAATCCTTAATTTAAGTCTATTTCATTTCTGAAAAGTAGCTCAGTTGTCTACTTACCTAATACAGACATGATTCATCTATATAACTTGCATAATGAATTACATTAAACACATTTTAATAAATCATATTATTACAATAAAAGAAATATTAGTGCCTAGGGAGGCAGAAGTTATTTTTAAATTATAGTAATTTATTAAGCACATTTAAGTGCAGCAAAGCAATAACCATAGAAACGTTAAATCATTAATTTCACTGAGTATATGAACGAAATGAAAAAGAGAAAGGATACATACATTAAGTTCCAATAAATAAGATGCCAGTTACATAAGATGTTATATGAGAATTATAAACACAGAAAATATTAATGTATTATAGAACTAAAGAAAAGTCCACCACATTTTGCTAAAATTACTTCACTCTGAAAATTTACAGAAGTGCCAACAAAGCAGAAATACCTATAAATCATGAGGACAGGCAAGAAGAAAAAAAAAGGCTATGTGAAGGTAGAGCCACGTTAAAGAAACCCTTGAGAGAAAACAACTTAGTTTGAGCAACACAGAAGTTATTATCTTGGGAGATATTATCAACCCTGGCACAAATTAATAAATATATAATTATAAATCTGGATTATACTATTTAAAAAGTGAATATAATCAAACTGCAAAATCTCTAAAGTGCTTGTTTATGGACTTTAAAAAAGAAACAGCTAAAGAGGAAAATTATTTTGTGAATTTCTTGAATGGAATACATTCTCATTTGTGTCTTTGCAACTTATATATGTTCACTATTTTCAAATACAGTTGACAACAATGAAGCAACTGTTATCTATTTGAGGATAATAAATGCATTTTGAAACAAATATGTCTACAACATACACCATCACACTATTACTTGCCATTATCTTTTCCTTAATTTCATTCCAAATTCTGCAGGTCCATAAAACACAAAAAGAAAACCTGCAAGGGAATTTAAATTTCAAATTTACCAGCAACCAAGAGAATTGAAGACAAAAGTACTACTATACCCTAGTGCTGTCACTGGAAAGCCTTTTCCACACAAGCTGACACTGAAAGGGTCAGGAGGTAGCATTTCAGGGTTCTGGTTAGTCTAGAAGCATTTTAAGTGGCTGGAGCTTCGAGGTATGCAGGCATCAACAAGATTAGTCTGTTTAGTGTAGAGGGTGAAAGGAAAAGAGCTGGAGATGCCAGACACCAGAAATAAGAAAGTCATTGTGGAGGATTAAAGTAAATAATCTTAAATTGCATTCACATCTGAGCAGTTACAAGTTTTTTGTTTGATTGATTTTTAATGGACACCAAGGAACGGTACCATTTTGTGAGATCTTATCATAAAAGCTGTGGTGGACATCGTGTGTGCCACTTCAAATACTGAGCCACTGAGGTAGTTACTCTTGCGTCCTGCCTCAGATCAGTGTGGGATGCAGAAGCACAGAAAGTGACAGCCCCACAAAACAAAGCTGGGCAACCAGGCAATAGAAGCCAAAGGACAAATACCTTCCCCTTTATTCTGGATCCTTCAGGAGGGGTCTGAGACATTTCATAGGGCTTCTCAGAATATTCTGTGGGATGGAGCAGCCAACTGCTTGTCTTTGATAGTATTTGAATTGCCTCTCCCATGGTCAATATTTCACTCTTCTGGTCCCTCTCCCGCCTGCTTCCTGTGATCACACTTGCAAATGAACTTACTGCATCACCCTCTGCTCTGTCCAAGCCAGGGTCTGGGTCTGCTTTTGCCTGTAGCAAAACAGGGTCTATATTCACAGCCTGCCTAGAAAAGGGAGTCAAATATTTTTTTAAAAAGGGGAAAGTGCCTTTATATGTGGCCACAAAGGTCACAGGAATGTTAGTGACAGCAAACCCTTGGAGTCTTTGGAGAACCACCTATGTACCACGCACAAATAGACCTAGGGATATTGCTATGAACAAGACAGTAGGGGAAAAGGCAGGGTGTGTATGAGTGTGTGTGTGTATGTGTATGAGTGTGTGTGTGTATGTGTGTGTGTGTGTGTGTGTTAAGTAAAAACAAAGTGTAACAAAGGCTACATCAGAGCTATGTGTAGCACGCACAATGAGATGGCAGCCTGGTTCACACTACCTCCCAGGGCCACATCTTTGCGCCTACTCTGTCCTCTGGTCAGAGCTGATTGATACAAGCCAGGCCAAGGAGACAACAGGAGCTTGATCAGATTCAGTATTTGTTTTGTTTTTTTTGTTTCCAAAACTAGAGGGACTTGTGTGTTCTTTCATCAAGAAGCACATCATATGTGTTGCTCTTCTCTTTATTATGTTAGCAGCTGTTGATGCTCAATGCCTAGTTTCATTAATTCATTAGGAGTTAGAGAAACATGTCAAGTGCATCATGAAGATACAATCAGCAGAATTCACAATGCAGAAATCTCTACAGCTCACATAAGCCAGGTTTTTCAATACATTCAGGGTGGGGCAAAAGTAGGTTTACAGTTGTTTGTACAGAAAATAATACAGCCCCAGCCGGTTTGGCTCAGTGGTTAGAGCATCAGCCAGCAGTCCAGAGAGACCTGTGTTTGGTTCTCAGTAAGGGCATGTACCTGGATTGCAGGTTGCAGTTTGTCCCCAGCCCTGGTTGGGTCGTTCGGGTGGCAATCACTTGATGTGTCCCTTTCACATTGATGATATTTCTCTCTCTCCTCCTCTGTCTCCCTCCTGCTCTATCTGAACAAAAAATGAAAAAATGTCCTCAGGTGAGGATTAAAAAAAATAATACAATTGCTATTAACAGTATAAGAATAAATTCTGTTTTGTGTACTCACAATTGTAAATCCACTTTTGCCCCACCCTGTATACTTCAAGGGGGGAAAAGTGAGGGAGGTAATGTAAGGGGACCACCTTCAGTATAAAAGAAACCTAAAAATCATGCATACCAAAACTAGGCTTGTGGGAAACCTGTGGCTCAATCTGTGCAATGCCTACTAGGGTGTTTGCCTTATATGTGGGGAAAAAAGATAAATCACCTGAGGGTCTAGTTTAAAATGCAGGTGCTGAAGTCCCACTCAGCCCTGCCAGTTCAGTATCTCTAGGGGTGGGCCCCATGCATTTGCATTTTAATAAACTCTGCCTAGTGATTGTTATGCACACTAGCTAGAACCATTCCCCTGGTAGGTATGCTTAATAAATTTATGCTAAATGTGTATATGGGGAAGAACAGATATACAATAAGATGGTCAGAGAATAATAGTAAAAAAGACTAAACTCTATAAAATTATAATTGATAGTTATGTCCACGATTCAAATGAATCTAGTACAAGCACAAAGGAACAATATGAGGTACATTTAAAACATATAACTCTTGGTAATTTAGCTATATAATATTTTCTATAGTACATTTATTTATAAAATAGTATCCGTCTATATTTTTCTATATATTCTCTATATATTACCTATTATATATCTAATAGGTATAACTATATAGAGATATAATCATATAGATATGTAATATAGATATAATTATATATCTGAAGGGGTTTTATACATAGTTTTATGTTATATATGTTTATATAATATATAGTAGTATTATATAATATGACAAATATATTACTATATATTATTAATGCATATTACTATTATTCAAAATAGATAATATATACAATATTATATATTAACATAAATATATTAATAAATAATAGTATATAAAATAGTATTATCTCTAGAGTTCCAGCATATGTGAAACTATTCTAACCACAAGACTGACAAACTAACAAATGAATTACTTGAGCCTTCATCAGCTCCCTCCTCTCAGCAAAACACATTCCCTCTCTCCATTTCCTCACCTGCCCTTCACTCCCTTAATCCAATTTGGTTCCTACCACCATCACTCCACTGAAACCACTTCCTTTGATGTGAACAATAAATTCTAACTGTTCCATCATAAAAGTCCTTACTTTCCATCTCTTACTTTAAATCCTCTCTCCATAACAGTGTTGACTATTCCCCTTTTAAAGATATTTCTTCCCTAGATTTTCATGTCATCTGTCTCTTTTGCTTGTCAGAGAGTCTTCTAGCCATACTTTTCCAGACTCCTCTTTATCAGTACACTCCAAATATCCACCTGCAGTTCCAACGCAAGCCCTGCCATGCAATACTATAGTTAAAACTCTCACTCCAAAGTAAATGTCTACAAATCTAGAACTTTAGCTTAGGCTTCTATCCTGAATTGTAAAACTATACAACCAACTATTTATGATTCATACATACCTTAAACCAAGCATATCTCAAACCAAATTTATTGTTTTCCCATCTAATATCAGCTACCATTTCTCAAAGTGAATGACACTATCCAGCTGTCAGAAACAGAAAGCTAAAACTCTACTAAGGACGCTCTCCTTGACGATCTAATCAACTATAAAACCCTACTGATTTCACCTCCTATATTTTTCTTTTTTCATTTTCATTTCCCTAATTAGACCCTTGCTATAAACCAAACTCTGTCCTTCTAACCCAAAATCCACATGCTGAAGTCACACCTGCAAATGCAACTGTTTCAGAGTAAAGAAGCAATTAAAGGTAAGTGAGATGTAAGGTTAGGGGCCTATTCCAATAGGATTAATGTCCTTATAAGAAGAAAAAACAGAGAGGGAGCAAAGTGAAGGGGGTCAATGGGGGAGGGTGGAAGGAGGGGTATCTATAAAACTTTCAACAATGAAGATAAATCAAAAGGGAAAACAACAGAGAGCTCACTCTTGCTCTCTTTACCATGTGAGGACACAGCAAGACAGCAGCTGTCCACAACAAGTCAGGGAGATACTTCCTTGCAAGAAATCAAATCAGCCAACACCCTGATCTTGGACTTCTTAATCTCTGAAACTGTAAGAAAAAGTTCTGTGGTTTAACCACCCAGTCTGTGACCTTTAGTTAAGGCAGCCCTAGCAGTCTGACACCCTTCCTCACTGCCCTGTAAGGGTTGCCCTGCTCAAAACCCTCCTCCCCTCTATGATCAGAATGATCTTCCACACACAAACTATCAGGGCACATCTCTGCTAAAAGGTCTTCAATAGCCTGCTATTATCTAGAAGATAAAATGCAAACTCAAGTCTGGGCCTTAATCTTTCTGACAATACTCAATGCAGTCTTGTTTTCCCAGCAGGCCATGGCTGCCTGCACTCTCTGGTTTCTCTGTCTGGGCACATGCTGCTCCTGTAGCTGGAATACCTTACTGACCTCTGGTGTGGGACCAGCCAACTCCTAGTCAGGCTTCTCAAATCAAAACTCATGCCCTACTTTTCTTAATTATACTCTTTACATATATAAAAACATGTACCTTATTGTATTACAATCTTGTATTTCAGGTCTGTAAGTCCCTTGAGGTCATAAATGTATTTTTCCATCTATGTATTCTATAGGGTCTTGCATATAATAAATGGTCACTACCTGTGTTCTACATGAAGAAAAAAAAAAAAGTCAGAGTGGCAAATCCTTAACTGATGCTTTAAAGAGTATTTAGTGATTTATTTTTATAATAAATGAGAGCAGTAGTTGTGCATTAGTAGTATGATCTAATTGTATTAGAGCAACAACCTTTGATATGATAAAGTCAAAGTGTATACCCACCCAGCTCCTTTAGAAAAGACCCACGTAAGTGATAACTAGCACATTAAAACTTTTTACTATCCTTACTTTCTTCAGAAGTTCAACACTGTTCTCCAAAAGGTGAATTAAAGATGAGCATTTCCTGGTTATCTTTAAGCTGACTTCAGAAACACACAGCAGTTCAAGGGTCAGCTGAATTTTTCAGAAAACAGGATGACATGAAAGGCTTAAATAAACTTCCTCAATAGACAGCACTTTTTTGTCTATATCAAATCTTTTATCCGTTTATAGAAGTCATAATATGATATTGCAATAATATACAAACCAAAGGATAATTTTAAGCTACACAAGAAACGTTAACCATACAATATTTTTCTCTAAACCTATAAAGCCTTAAGGAGATAAAGAAATGTTCAGAACTCAAATGTGATTAAACTGTACCACTCTGCCTTTTCCTTCTGTTGCTAAATGAAGTAATTGTCATTGCATGTATTACTGCTGTCTGGCACCAATTGTTTTTATTTATTTTCCTAACTTCTCTGAGTGCAGATTTCCTAAGACAAATTACATACATGATAGTGCCAACATCTTGAAGAAAATTGAAATTGGTTTTGAGTTCTCCAATTGAACTCTCCTTTCTACAGTTGCAACATAATTACCTGGTAGTAAAGGGTTAGCATGTGATTTTGATGTTCTTTTAAGTCCTTCATCTGCAAGGTATTTGCTTAGAAAACCTTAACTGAGAGCATCATTTCCATACTCAGCAGGTGTGAGGAAAAACCATATTCAAATGGTAGGTTATCTTCTCAACAGACTAATGTATTAGGTAGGAAAGACTTGAATGCTACTGAAAAAATTCAATTCAATTCAAACCCAGCTGTTCTGGTCACAATTCTGGAGTCAGTACTAAGGATATGGTCCTGCTAGCAGACACACTGGCATATCCCAGAGATTACAAACAATGAACTGTCTGATTCAACCAAGAGTCCATGTCTATTAAAGTCATCAAGGGGAAAGCCTACAGTTGACCAGCTGTACCTTTCACCAATGGATGCAACCATAATAACCCCAAGTGACTCTAACTTATACACACAGAGAAAAATTCATTCCTAGCAAACAAGAGATACAAAGACATTATAAGATCAAGGGGGAGGAGATAGCAGAAAATACCAAGTTATAGAAAATAAATGTGAACAATTCAGTCAATTATTTTGCTCTTTTGCAAATATACAGAAAACAAATGTGAGCAGTTCAGTCAATTATGTTGCTCTTTTGCAAATATACAGTGGGAGAGGCAAAAGGCCACTAAGAAAAGAAAGAGATTTAAAATAAAGAAAGCCACCCACTGGTGTGGCTCAGTGGTTGAGCATCAACCCATGCACCAAGAGGTTGCTGGTCCAATTCCCAGTCAGGGCACATGCCCAGGTTGTGGGCCTGACCCCCAGTGGAGTGCATGCAGGAGGCAGCCAATCAATGTTCTCTCTCACGGATGTTTCTAACTCTCTTCCTCTCCCTTCTTCTCTCTTTAAAATCAATAAAAAATTTTTTTAAATAAAATGAAGTAAAGCCTCATGTTTATTTGACATTTCCTTGAGTTCATTTTTTGTGCATACTTGAAATTTTTCATCATAAAAAAATGTTTTTGAAAGACAACCTCAGCAAATTAGCATTAAAGGCTCTCTAATCTTTATCATTACCAATATTCTTAACAAGAACAATTTTGAAGTAATGTTCTATCTTTATGTGGAAATAGATCATGTGCAATAGATAACATGTATGATGACAACAGTCACAGTTAAAAAGAAAGAAATACTGGGGCCAAAGTCAATAGTAAAGCTTAACATAGGTCCAAATAATATAACTGAAGGGCCAATGGCACAAGAATAGAAAATAGGAGTTCTATTGACCATCAACTGATCATAGGTCATTTAGTGGCAAATCTATTTCTAACCAAATTTATTTTTTTTTTAAATTAATGTGATTCAAATGCTCAGAATGGATCAGTACTGTATTCAGCTCTAAGAAGAACCTTTTTTAGGAACACAATCTGAGCACCAATAATCTAGAGAATTTCTGCCAAAGGTCAGCAAAAAGTCTAGAAACCATTTCCCATGGAAAGTAAAGAAATTGATGAAGTAAAGAAAGGAGGGAGGGAGGGAAGAGAAGGAAGGATCAAAAGAAAGAAAAGGAAGGCAGAGAGAAAAACGACACAAGATAGAATGCAGATGGGCTTTTTAAAAGCTCGTTTTGTTCTAAGAAGAATTTTGACTACTGAGTAGAGTCTGCGAAAAATGGAGATCAATTAAAAGTGCTTGCTGAGAAGAAAGAAAGAGAACAGAATAGAGAAGAAAAGAAGAAATGATTGCCTTGCAAATAGCATGCTTCCTATCACTAAAATATTTTATTTGTCATGGGATGGTTGCCTTTTAAAGAGTATAAGAAACACTGTTATCAGTGGGAAAATGGATTACATTGCTGCTAAGATCCTTCCAAATGCTCAGATTCTTCATTCTAATAAAGACAGTATGTTAAGGGATTAAAGGTATTGATGTCACTAGTTCCATTTGTTTCAAATGGTGTATCCCTTTTTGTCTAACCTATCGCAACTATATTAACAAGCCGCATACTCCCAGAAATATTCCACAGAGCTCACTTAGAATAAGTATTTAGGCTTGTCAATAAAGGTTCATGAAGATGAGAACAAATATCTGCCCAAGAGCAGAGAGCACAGGGTTATGCAAGCAAGGTGTGACATTTGTTAAGTGTACCCTAGTTCAAGATGTTCTCCCAACACTCTGCTTTATTGCCCACACAAAACAAAAGCTTTGGAAAAACCACAGGAGAATTCATTTTAATTCACTGTTCTCTGCCTTAATTATAGGAAAGCCAATTTATGAGTCACAAGGGAAAGATTCATTCTACTCATTCCTTGCTAACACAAACCTAAAACAGGTAATCTGTGATGCCAAATGATCACTTTGAATGATCACTCCCTCCATCAGCTAAGGAGCATGGTGCTCAGATTCTAGGCCAAGGACAAACCTTGAAGATGGGATGGAATGGCCTGATAAATGAATCACTACATTAAAATCACAACACACTGGTAACTGGAGTTTTTGATTGTTTTTAAAATCTGCAGCTATAGAGACATTAGCTCAAATTTATTTCTCCCCTGAACTCCCTAGGCATTTTACCCATACTTCTGTTAAACATCTTTCATCCATCTACTTTGAATTATGAAAGTTTATATACTTGGTTTAACTCCCTTACTAAACTGTGGGCTTCTCAAAAGCAGGATCCATCAGGGCCTCTGCACATGTTGTAGGGGGACATGTGGAAACAGAAACCAAGCCAGCACTCAGCTGGTCAAGCTCTATCTGCCCTGAGATACACCTTTCTCTAATTTGCACAGAGAAGAGGTCTTTTTATTTTTTTTCTTATAACTCTCTCAGTGTCTTGCACAAGGAGAAATTCAATTCAAGATTCTTTTTCCTGAGAAGCTTTTCTTAAAGGAAAGTTTCATTCCTACTACTCCTAGAATGGATTATGCTGATTTACATAACTGTGAATTTGGTTAACATTATGTACATTAATGTTAAATCTCAATCTGGTTCCTTCATCATTTCCAAAAGCCTGCAGGCATTTCTGGAGCCTGGATTGTATCTGAGTTTGCCAGGTCATGGAGGTTCTACTTTACGTGTGACAAGACAATCAATCACTGTCGATGCTGTCTTAGGGGAGGAGGATGGAAGGCCTTACCTGCAAACATGGAACCATGTCACAACACAACTGAAGTATCTGTTGTTCCAATACCAATGGCTGTTCTTTGTCACATGGAACCCAGGGTTGAAGTAAGACTTTTAGCAGGGCTAGTCAAAGTTTAGCATATTCTTGTAACTGGGATGGTCTGCAATATAGATGGCATAGAAATGGTGTCATTATTTTGATGCAGGAAACTTCTGACCTGCAAATCAGGTAACACAGAAGCCAGTCACTGAGTTAAACAGTTTTGAGTGTCAAATATCAACTAATAGTTCATGACCTATCATCAACTATGTTAACATCAAATGCAATTTCTTTTCATGGTTCTTCTATTCCACAATGACCTGCCTAGACCCTTGCCAAACAGTTTTTTTGTGTATTGGAGAAAATGACTCAACACCTGGAGAACATAAGCCTGATGGCCAGTAACAGAGTTTCTACCTGTACACTAGAACAGCCCCTATGTCTCCCATTAGAGCAGCTCCTATGTCCCCAGGATCAGTTATTGATGAACATCAGAATCATCTGAGAACCTTTTTAGAGTTACAGATGTCAGGACACATTTTCCAGGAATATAATACATGCATGTAATTTTGGAAAAACTCTATACATGAGGTTCTATATAAAATAAAGCCATACAGACAACCCAAGAAGATTATAACAATTAATATTTACTTTTCAACTTGTTCACATAGTGTGCAAATAACTCCACTTTACGCCTTTAAAGTCATTTGATTCTCACTACAACCCTATAAAATAAACAATGTTATATTCCAATCATGCAGAAACTGAGGCAGAGAGAGGTGAAGTAATCTGCCAAGTCCCTCTAATAAGCTCTTCTTACTCAAAGGAGGAAGACCTTACCCATCTTTCATATCTTTAGATTTCAATGTATCCCAATAACTCCAAGTTCAAAGTCACTAAAATGCCAAATGACCTTTCAAATATAAAAATTCCATCATGTCATTAACTACCTTGAAAGAGTTTAGCCTTAAGATAAAATATTTAGCCTAATTCACAAACCTGCATAACTTGGCCACAGCTTATCTTTTCAGCCTCCCTTGCTGTTCTTTTCCATTCTCCACCGAACACCAAACCTTCTGATCTCCCATCGAGTCATCCAGGCTTCTTTCTCATTTGCAGTCCCCTCCATCTGTAATACTTTCCCTTTCTCCCTTTCCTGCTCCTTCCTCTGCCTCATTTCTATCATCTTTCAGTTCTCTCCTTTAAATGAACTTGCTGAGGACCTTCCCTGATGCCTAACCTAAATCAGGGCCTTATAAGGTGCTTCCACAGGACCATGACTGCATCATTGTTATGTATTTAACATCTCTATCCCTTGCAAGACTATAAGCCAAATGAGGGCATGGACTGTGTATTTCTGTTTACTTCTGTTTTACCAATAATTGTACACAGTAAAACTTCAATCAGATGCTCAATCAATCATTAAATTAACTGATCATTTACACTAAATCAGAGTAGTTTTAAAATTAGCAGGTACCAATTAAATATAATAATTTTATTCTAATGTTTTTCTTATTTACATAAGAAATTATTAGGTAAGATAAAAAGATAAAGCAGGAATTATCTGTTCTTAAGAAGCATAGACTCTGGGGGTGGGGTATAAAAGGGGCCTAATATATGGTGACAGAAGATAATTTGACTGGGCGGTGGTCACACAGTGCAACATACATACAGATCTTGTATCATAGAAATCTATGAAACCTTTAAAATCTACACCTGAAACCTTTATGATCCTATTAACCAATGTAACCCCAAAACATTTAATGAAGATGAAGAAAGAAAAACAAAACAAAAAACAAAACCATAGACTCTAACAGGGGCAATAAAGTACAATGCTGCCTGGAAGAAACAGTATTTGAATTATGACCGACAATATAATTTTATAATATATACTTTCCACAGAAATATGTTTTCAAAACATCAACATTAATAAAAATTACAAAACTGGTAAGATTTAATTAATTTATTTATTCATTTATTCACTTAGCAAGATGTACTGACTACCTATAGTGAGCTATTCACTCTTCTGGATATGTGCTAGAAACAAAAATAGATTAAAGCTTGCTCTGATGGAGCTCACAGTCTAGATATTTTTTTGTTCTCAAGAACACAAATATTTACACAATTTACAAAAAACACAAAACAAGGACTTTTTTTTTTTAGTTCATATTATTATTGAAACACATATCTTGATCAAACCATGCACTGTAGTTAACTAAAAACAGCTTCATAGATCAAGCAAGGATGATGTACTATGAATTAGACTACAAAGCACAGGTTTCCAGAAAAGAGATTTAAGAAATATTGCTTCCCAATCTCTCTCTAAGAAATTTTCTTCCCAAAAGAAAAAATACTGTCCAGGTGTCAAGAATATCCACAAATAGCTTATCAGTTTTCTCCCACTTTGAGCTGCTAAAGGTGAAACGCAAGGTTCATATACAGAAATATATCTTCGAGACTCTGTTATTATTTGACATCAGGAGCATAATGTTGAACTTTCTTGAAGACAATATACCATTATGCTATTTAAAACTCTCATTGGCTTAATTTGCCCCAATTTTAGATATTGCATTTCCAATGTGGTATCTAATGAATAACTATCACTTCAGTATGTATGAGATTGATAGGGCTTAAGAAGAAAAATAAAATAATAAAACATATCCTGAAATCCACAAATGATTAAGAATGTTTAAAAATGTAACCAGTTTGCATATATCTACATATACATCTTTCACATTTCTGTTTACCGCTGAAGGAGAAGTGGCAGAAAAAGATCTGGAATGTACGTCAAAACTGAGGCTTTCGGACCAACTCCGCCATTCATTAGCGATGTGACCTTGAGCGAGTCATTTAATGTTGCTCTCCTTAGGTCCCTCATCTGAAAAAATGTGTTAGACTAGATCACCTTAAAATAACCAGGTGTAAAGACCATGACATTACTATCAATTTATGCTATTCTCAGTTCCATGAAGGTGAAGTTTTAACATCACAAGGCCATCTATAAATGAATGCAGAATTTAATGATAAAATAATGTCCCTGCCCTGACTGGGTAGCTCAGCTGGTTGGAGTGCTGTCCTGTCCACCAAAAGGTGTTGGGTTTGATTCATGGTCAGTAATTACTAACACAGAAAGAGCTAGACACATAGCTTCACAACATTTTGCTCCCTTCCCATAGTTGTAAATCACTATTTATATTATTAAATTATCCACTTTCTTTCTAAACAGAAAGTTAAAACTACTAAGTTAACTTACTCTAAAATTAAACCTCAGGAAACTAATAGTCTGCTGAGAAATGCAACCAGCATTACAATTTCATCCTGCAAAGAATAATCTCAGTGGAAAAGTAGAAATGAGGCAATTGAACTCGTTGTTTGCAAATATAATTTAGAACCTCCAAAAAGCTCTGGATAGCATACCCTAACACCTGAAAATTTAAATGAAAGGAATAAGTCAACAGAAGCTTATCAGAAAATATAATAAAGCCTATTAATATTTTTTCCTTATAAATATCATTAGAATACTGCTTTCAAATTCCGACATAATACTCCTTAGAAGTGAAAATAACCAAAAGCTAAGTTAATTACTTGTTGATTAAAGCACTAAAAAATAGAGATCTTCTTAACAAGTTTAATGACAACTTTGGCAAGTCAGCAGCAACATCTTTTAAAAAGTATCCCCATCTGTTTAATAAGAGAGAAGTTTCATTAAACAAATGTGTTTATTATACATTTGTTTTTGGTTTCTGACATAGTTGAACAAAGACTTACTTAATAAATATTAGTCTTACCTTTGAAAATGCAATCCTAGAGAGAAGAAAGGATGATGATTTTATTTTGAGCGGTTCGTTCAAAGGCCGCATGGATTTTTCTGACTGGCAAATGATTCTATATCTCTTTAAAATGTCCTACAGCAGTATATCCTGCCTAGAAACTCCATCTAAAATTGAATTTATGGACTCAAATGGTATTCTAAGAAACTGTATCTATAGGACACTATAAGAACTTCAAAAGCAAAAAAACATGAATATAGTTGGTGTGGTGAATGTAACTTAGGCATTGGATTGATTACCTTGGACAATGATATCCTATCAAGACCTCGCATGATGGTCCTAAGTATCTATTACATATCAGGAGGCACTCTACAACCTGCTGCCCGGGCCTCACCAATCTGTGGGCCTCATGTGTATAAATCCAACATTTATTGAGCACCTAGAAATATGCCAAGTATTATTAATACAAAGAATAATAAGATGTTCTTACTCTTGCTCTCAGGAAGGTTTCACAGTTAATAGAGGAGAGTAATTATAGGACAATGTGGTAAGTATAATAACGTTAGAAATCACAAGTGAAATTATGGAGCATATAAAAGAGATACCTAACCCAGCCATTAGTAAGCAACAACTTCCTAGGAGAGAGAAGGTCTAAACTACGACTTGAAATAGAGAAATGAGGAAAGGGTCGGGGCAAGATGTGAGGGAGTGAGGTGGGTGCTAGGAAACAAAAGCACAGAGGCAAGGGAACAGCCCTGCTCCACCGGTGGAAGTCGGTGTATTGCTGAATACATAATTCATCAATGTGAGATGAAGATAAGAGAAGACAAAATTGGTAAAACAGGTAGAAACTATATCATACACAGAGCCTAGCATAATATACAAATTTTATCCTGTAGCCTGGGGATTTTACAAGTATTTCAGAAACCAAACTTTTTTTCAATAGAAAGCTCCCATCAGATGGCAACATGTAAGTTCTATAAAAATAGACCTGAAGGGGGTTGGGGAGAGTGTTCCTGTACTTAGCCCATGCATTGCAAGTGCGGTTTGAAAAACACAATTGTCGTGATTTAAACCAAGAAGTGATGCAATAAGATCTACTCTCTTGTTTTATCACCCTGATGGGTGTGTAGAGGATAGATTTGAGCAATATGAAATTAGATGTAGAGATGTCAGTTAGGAACAGGTAGCAAAAGCCAGGAGATGGTGACCTACGCTGGTGGCATGGCGGTAAAGATGGAAGAAAGGGGGTGCCTTTGAGATCACCAAGAGGCCTTGGTGAAGCTGAACTAACGGCACATATGGTTGCTATCTGGTCCCAGCTGGCACTATCACTTGCTCCCAATTGGCAGGTTTCTAACAGGGAGAGTTTCACTCACTAATCAATGTCCAGGGGGGAAAAGCTGTCTTCAAAATGTATTGTGTACGGAGTATCAAGGCTTTATGCCCTGTTTTATATTATTGCTAAGAACAACTAATTGATTTATGTTATTTTGCTTTATATTAACTGTTTAACACAACTAATAAAATGATTTATCATTAAAAAAATTTTTAAATAAACATATTGCATAGTAGTTTACTGAATATTTCTAATCAACTTTCCTAACTAACCAATGCTTAACTTCTTTAATAATAGCTTTTCTCATATTTAATAGTTGAACAAGCAAATCTGGTAGGTTTTTATACCCTTACCCTTAAAAAGAAAATATAAGACTATATATGCTTGAAGACATTTCTTTTCCGGAGAAAACACTGTAGTCAAAGCAGCTTAAAAAGGAAAAGCCAAGCTCTAAAATTAGCATATACCATTCCTTCGCCCTCACTTATTTAATTTCACATTACCTTTCAGGGCACTGCAGGAAAAATGCTGTCAGCTGCTGCAAAAGTACTGGCCAGCAATCAGGTCTGTGTTCAAGCACAGTGATCAAAGGCTGAGGATGATGTCTGAAAAACACAGAAAGTCACATTGGAAACTGTCATTTCAGGACTACACATTCTCAATAGTCAAATATAGCAGCAAAAAAGAAAGAAACAAAGAAACAAAGCCAATGCCATTCTAGAGACTTTCTGCAGAATTCATACTTGTCCCAAAACTACTATTCGCTACATTTGTTGCACAGTTGGTTCATTAGCACTGACATTTTTTTCCTTTAAGCTGCTTTGCAGAAAAGAGAATGAACCCCAAGGCTTAGAGACCCCAATCTGAGAACGGACTCTGCTCTGTGACCAACCAAGCTCCTGAATCCAGCGGCTGTCTTGTCTCCATCTCTGATGCTTTCATTCCTGGTGCTACCCTCCTGCTACTCTCTGTCAAACCTGGAAGGTTCCATTTCCTCTAACATTTCCCCAACCTGCAAGTACCATCTCTTCTCTGTTCCCACGTACCCCACCATTCTTCTCAGTGTACGGCTCGGGGTTCCCCCACCATATTTAAGAAGAGGAAAGAGAAAATATTTCTCCCATCTCAAACAACAAACTATATAAACTGAAAATGCTTGAAATTTCTCTTGAATGGGGATGGATCTTTTTATGTGGGGTATGTCCATTAAGATACCTAAAAACACTATATAAAACATAAGATCTGAAATCTGAAGTAATCTTAAAGAAGAAAAAGAGAAGGAAAAAAACACAAATGCGTTACTTTAAATAGTTTAAAAAGTCTACTAGAAACTGTAAATTAATTAGATCCTTAAACTATGAAGCACTATACAATGTTTTTAGTTATTATGGATGTAAATACTCATTATAAATTAGAAAATACAGAAGCATCTATCTTTTTAACATAGAAGGAATCAAACATATAATGCTATTCTTTCACCTTAATTTTTAACCCAACAATATATCACCAGTAATGATTTAACACCAAAAAAAAGCAGACTAGTACATCAAAATGATTTTTTTGTTAAGTGTGATCACCTTACCAGCAATATTAGCATCACCTGGGAACTTGTTAGAAATGTAAATAAATCCTCAGGCTCCATCCCAGACCTAGTAGCCCTCCAGACAGTTCTGCTACATTGCCATAAAGCAGTGGTTCTTAACTCTGGCTGCAGATTAGAGTCATCTGCGGAGCTCTTTAAAAAATACCAGTGTCGGGACTGAAAAAATGGCGGCGGAGTGAACGGAGCTACACAGACCGTCTCCCAGAACCAAACTGGAATTACAACTATAACACAGACAAATCGACGGGAAAAACCAACAGGAAAGCAGCTTGCGAGGACCATACAACGAGGGACACTGACTCCATCCCGGTAGGCTTGCGAAGGCGCGAGACGGGGCTGGGAGCGCACGGTCGGCAGCTCGACAGCGGCCTTAGCTATAAGCGGCACCCGCGGGTTACACTCCCAGGCGGCCCCACAGCGCAGCCGGGACTGAGGCTAAAACAGCCACAGCCACTCACCTTGGGCTCCGGCAGAGGGAGGGCAGACTGGACTGGAACTGTGTCGGGACACTCGGGGTTTGGAGGGCTCTCGGAGCTTTAGCTGAGTGCAGCCACTCAGGACGGTGGCCACATTGCTTCTTCCCAGGGCTCTGAGAGAGGCAGCAGCCCCTCCCTCGGAGATCCAACCCCACCCTGTGGGCCATTGAAGTGTTAATTGAGGCTCACTAAGGACCAGCATCTGCCCCACCCTCGTGAAAGCCCCTTGGCTGAGCACCAGAGGGAGTTTTTCAATCAACTGACAACCCAAAACTCATCAATTAACCTAGACTGCTAGCTTCCAGGCAAAAAGCTAGAGGATAACAGTACGTTTCCTGGGCTGGCAACTTTAACCAGGAAAGTAAGACCTGACAGTGGTGATCAACGCGGGTCCTCCCTCGCTCATCTAAACACAGGAGAGGGAGCCACAAACAGCAGAACACCAACACCCACAGGGAGAACTTGACAGGCTCCAAAGCCCAGAGTGATAGCTAAAATGGTGAAACACAGAAACAGAAGCCAAATGAAAGAGCAAACCACCTCCACCGAAGATGAGATCAATGTGGAGCAATTAGGCATGTTAACAGAGCTAGAATTCAGAGCCATGATCTTGAGGAAGCTGAACAGCATGAGTAAGGACATAGAGACACTGAAAATAAGCCAAATGGAAATTAAAAACCAACAAGAAGAGATAAAAAATGACATATCCGAAATGAAAAACACATTGGAAGGTTTAAAAAGCAGAGTAGGGGAAGCTGAGGACCGGATCAGCGAATTAGAAGACAGGGTAGAAAAAATCAACCAATCAGAAAAACAAAAGGAAAAAACTATTAAAAAACAGGAAGACAGCTTAAGAGAACTATGGGACAACTGGAAACGTAATAATATTCGCATCATAGGAGTCCCCGAAGAAGAAGAAAAGGAGCAAGGGATAGAGAATATATTCAAAAAAATAGTGAGAGAAAACTTCCCTAATTTGGTGGAGGAAGAAGGCATTCAAGTTCAAGAAGCACAGAGAGTCCCAAGTAAGAAGAACCCAAACAGGCCCACACCAAGACACATAGTAATTAAAATGCCACAAATTAAAGACAAAGAGAGAATCCTAAAAGCAGCAAGAGATAAGCAACAGGTTACCTACAAAGGGAACCCCATAAGGCTCTCAGCTGACTTCTCACAAGAAACACTACAGGCCAGAAGGGAATGGCATGAAGTAATCAAAGTCATGAAAAACAAGAATCTGAATCCAAGACTACTCTACCCAGCAAGGCTATCATTCAAAATAGAAGATCAAATAAAGAGCTTCCCAGACAAAAAAAAGCTAAGGGAATACATTAGCACCAAACCAGCACTGCAAGAAATGTTAAAAGGACTGCTGTAATTAGCAGTAGAAATGGGAACAAAAATAGAACCACACTAAACAAAAATGGCAATAAATAAGTACATATCAATAATCACCTTAAACGTAAATGGACTGAATGCTCCCATAAAGAGACACAGAGTAGCTGATTGGATAAGAAAGCATGACTCATCTATATGTTGTTTACAAGAGACCCATCTCTCAACAAAAGACTCACATAGGTTGAAAGTGAAGGGATGGAAAAAAATTTTCCAAGCAAATGGAAAGCAAAAAAAAGCTGGGGTAGCAATTCTCATATCTGATAAAATAGATTTCAAAATGAAGACCATAACTAGAGACAAAGACGGCCACTACATAATATTGAAAGGATCTATCCAACAGGAAGATATAACCTTGATAAACATATATGCACCCAATATAGGAGCACCAAAATATATTAAAAATCTTCTGGAGGACTTCCAAGGAGAAATCGACAACAATACAATCATAGCTGGGGACTTCAACACCCCGTTGACAGCACTGGATAGATCCTCTAGGCAAAAAATTAGCAAGGAAACAGAGACTCTAAATGAAGCACTAGACCAAATGGATTTAATAGATATCTACAGAGAATTACACCCCAAAACTACAGAATACACATTCTTCTCAAGTGCACATGGGACATTCTCAAAGATAGACCACATGATAGGACACAAACTAAATCTCTACAAGTTCAAGAAGATTGAAATCATATCAAGCATCTTCTCAGATCACAATGGCATGAAACTAGAAATCAACTGCAACAAGAACATGCAAAGACATTTCAACACATGGAGGCTAAATAGCATGTTATTAAACAATGAATGGGTCACCGAGGAGATCAAGGAAGAAATCAAAAACTTCCTGGAAACCAATGAAAATGAACACACAACAACACAAAATCTATGGGATGCAGCGAAAGCAGTTCTGAGAGGGAAGTTCATAGCACTACAGGCCTACCTCAAAAAACAAGAAAAATTTCTAATTGACTGTCTAACCTCACAACTTAAAGAATTAGAAAGCAAACAAAAAGAAAACCCCAGAGCAAGTAGAAGGAAGGAAATAGTAAAGATCAGAGCAGAAATAAATGACATAGAGACCAAAAAAACAATTCAAAGGATCAATGAAACAAAGAGCTGGTTTTTCGAAAAGATAAACAAGATTGATGGACCCTTAGCTAGACTCACCAAGAAACAAAGAGAGAGAACCCAAATACACAAAATCAGAAATGAAAGAGGAGAAGTAACAACCAACACCACGGAAATACAAAAGATCGTTAACAACTACTATGAACAACTATATGGCAACAAATTCGACAATCTCAGCGAAATGGACAAATTTCTAGAAACACACAGTCTCCCAAAACTATTCCCGGAAGAGATAGAAAACTTGAACAGACCAATAACAACTAAGGAAATTGAAGAGGTAATCAAGACTCTCCCAGCAAACAAAAGCCCAGGCCCAGATGGTTTCACGGGGGAGTTTTACCGAACATTCAAAAAAGAACTAACACCCATTCTCCTCAAACTATTTCAAAAAATTCAAGAAGAAGGAAGACTTCCAAACACGTTCTATGAGGCCAGCATAATTCTAATTCCAAAACCAGAAAAAGACACTACGAAGAAAGAAAACTACAGGCCAATATCCCTGATGAACATAGATGCCAAAATCCTGAACAAAATACTAGCAAATCGGATCCAGAAATACATCAAAAAAATTATTCACCATGACCAAGTGGGATTCATCCCAGGGATGCAAGGCTGGTACAATATTCGCAAATCAATAAACATGATACACCACATAAACAAAATGAAGAACAAAAACCACATGATCATATCAATAGATGCTGAAAAAGCATTCGACAAAATCCAGCATCCATTTCTGATAAAAACGCTCAGCAATGTAGGAATAGAGGGATCATATCTCGACATAATAAAGGCCATATATGAAAGACCTACAGCCAACATCATACTCAATGGACAGAAACTAAAAACATTTCCATTAAGAACAGGAACAAGACAGGGATGTCCACTTTCGCCACTCTTGTTTAACATTGTACTGGAAGTCTTAGCCACAGCAATCAGACATGAAGAAAAAATAAAAGGGATCCAAATTGGAAAGGAGGAAGTGAAACTGTCATTATTTGCAGAT